CACATCTGGTTTTTATGTGCACTTCTTCCATTTTATTTACTTGATTCCTTTCATCCACTCATCTCCAACTTATAACACATAATTAAGAAATGTATAATCTTCAAAACTGAAGGAAAAAGATCAAAATCTTGGCTTCAAAGAGGCAAACCCCTAAAATTTGCACAATGCATCTTTTATTTACTTTCTTCTTGTCTACCTGTGGGATCTTCTGTTCCACAGAGGTTCCTCATTTAACCACCACCTGGGAAATGGCCGTTCACACTTGTAGCGGAGGTGCACTGTTCAGATGTATGACCCACATTTATTTGATTTTATTTTTTGCAGTTCTCTATGTCTCAATGTGTCTTTCATGTGTCTTTTATATGGCACACCTTATTTATACAGTACTGTAGTCTTTGCTGACTGTCCTGCACTGTAGTTTTTTTATACATTACAGTATCATATGTATGAGTTATGCCAAAAAAAGCAAAGCCATCAAGTTGGAGTTCCCGTTGACCATTTATTTGTCCTGAATATTGTAATGTACATGTTACATAACATTCCTCATGTAGCAACCAGATCTGTTTAATGAATTGGTTGCAAAACAGAAGCTGGTCATTAAATGAGGGGTCCCTGCCACCTACTGCACTGGAAGCCCATGTGCTAAGCATGTTACAGAAATAAACACAACATTTATGAAAAGACAAATGTCTTCCAAGTATCTAATTTCTATAGTGTCTCATACTGGGGAAAAATAAGCTTCCTGACATTTTTTGGATTCTGAAGCAATCAACCCACCTCACAGAGGTGGTTTGCCTGTTTTGATGCAGCAGGGAGTGAGTTAGAGCACCGTCTTAGGAGGCCTGTTGCTCACACGGGATCCAGGCACAGCAGCTGTGTGGAAGGGCCAGAAGGGTTCATCGGTGCACTCTTCGTGTTGAGCTCATTTCTAAGGAGTGTTTGCTTCCAACAGCTCCTCAGGTGATAATAAAACGGATTTGTGTGGAGTTAAATCAATTCTCAGAGAGAAACAAACTCTTCAGGAGTGACGTTACCAGACAGGCATGGGAGGCAGCCTGGGTTACAAAGTGACTTCAAGGTCAGCAGAGCCTACATAGTGAGACCTTGTGGCGAAGAAATAAAAAAGTGGTCACCTTTGAAACCTGACATGTAGAAATACATCATATGGATGCTCGTATTTTCTCAAGGGTTCTATGTTCACTTCCGAACCACAGGGAAAAGGTAAACTATTAATTAACAGTGTTATTCTTAGCTCCGTGATTGTTTTATGAGCTTAATTTTTGTCTCACAGTGGCTAACAAGTTCCTTTACTACATACTTTGTATGTTTTTCTGTCCTCGAAGGTATTTACTGCAGAGGCAGACAAAGCAATGGCTCCCTTAAGGCCAGTTTTACTGTCAAGGAGATTTGGCAATTCCAATGAGTTTTACAGAGTCAAACATGTTCACAGTTCTGCGATATCTTATTAGTAGTATTTTAGTTTCACTGATCCCTTCCCATGACCACAGAAGCTCTTTCTGTAATAGATAATGCTCCCACCCCAGCCAGTATACTGGTTCTCAGCTGCCCAGGTAGTAGTTCCTGTTCCAGATCCGGTTGCTCCTGTATTAGAAACAGCTGGTCACTGTGATGCACATTGTATAAACCAGTCCCCAGCTGACAAGCCATTCTGCCTCTGTGCTTCCTGCTGGCTTATCTCACATAAGCCCTAGACCACCAGAGATCAGGGCCTGATATTTTGGGAGTGAGCCCTATCAGTGCGCACTCATATAAATAAATCTGCCTCCAAATCGTAGGTGTTGTGTTTCTGCTTGCTGCTGCACCTTAAGGAGCCACAACACATTCAGAACAGCTTCCGGAACACCAACTTTGTGATCAACATAACCTTGAAGAATGCATGAAGGCTGCTTTGATGCTGGCAAAGGGCACATGAGGAAATACAGCAATAGGTGACTTATTGATTTGAGAAAAACGCTATCTGGCTTGAATCTGTTTTGCAGTCACGATTATTGACGAGCACTTTCTCTGTCACTGCCACATCATAAAATATGCTGGATTTTCTGAGTCATTTTCATCCCTGCCTTTTCTGACATGAGGGATCAATATTCCCTGAACCGAGCTGATGTGATGATGTTAATGACTACTGTATTTTATTTTATAGGGTACTGAAGAGCAGGTGTTCTTAAGACAACTATTCATCTTCGTGGAACTATTTGGAGAATATGATGTCTAATACAGAGATGCACCCGAGTGACTGTGGGATCGACGACAGAGGTGCGCCGTCCTGATTTTCAGCCCACCACTTGTACTTACACCCTATCTTTTTGTGTACAGTTCTGTACACCTTGCTGATAAGAGCCTCAGTGCTTCCACCTGGTATGGTACACCTTATTTATCTAGTGATACTTGCTGGTTGTGCTGTATGGTACAATACTGAGTTTTATGTTGTTATACTTTACAGTAGCCTGTATAAGAGTTAAGCAAAGGAAAGCAAAGTCATCAAGTTGAAGTTCTCTCTGACCGCTTCTTTATTCTGAAAAATGGGATGCACACCCTGCACGTGATTCCTCACTTACTGGCCACATTCTTTTTTAAATTATTATTAATGGTAGCAAAGTTTATTTGAAGAAGTAAAAGTGAAGAGTAAGGGAAAAACTGGCTCTGGAGAGCTTGCTTGGGCTGAGTTAAAGGGGCAAAAGAAAAGGAGAGAAAGTAAGGTGAAAGTGCACCCTGGAGAATACACGGCATGCACATTTGGCTCGACAGCCCTGTCCCAAGATGGAACTTGGTCCTTAAACTAGGAGTGTCTTTACTGGGACATTTCTTTGACTAACTTTACTATGAAGACTTTAATATTTTAACAATTACATTTTTAAATTGTCCTTACTTTTGTTTTTAGGTGCTTCCTTTTCATAAAAATATGTTTTGTTCTGTTTTGTTTTGTGAGACAGGGTCTCATTGTGTAGTTCAGGCTGGCCTCGAACTTGCAGTGATCCTCCTGACTTAGCACTTTTTCCAAGTGCTGATTACAGGCGTGCACCACCATGCCTAGCAAAAAAACATGTTTTTTAACAGTGCCTTCTCCAGATTTCCTGTGTAACGCACTGTTATAATTTACCTATGTCAGGTGTGGTACTACATGCCTCTCTTCCCACATAATCAAGCAGGTGAGATAGAAGGGTCACACGTATCAGCCCAGGCTGGGCAACTTAGCAAGAGCCTGTCTTAAAATAAAAATTTTAAAAAGTGATGGGGATGTAGTTCAGTGATAGAGTGCCCCTGGGTTTGATCCAAATAAATAAATAAATAAATAAATAAATAAATAAAACAAATACATAAAATAATGGCTGAGCCTACAAAATAAAAAAAAAATTGCTCTTATTCTGAATTATATAATCTGTCCAAAAATATATATATCCATCCTCTATCTTGTTTTTTCAGGTACGTTTTTTTTCAAGCTGGGTATAGTAGCATATCCCACATCCAGCTACTAGAGAGGCTGAGACAGGAGTTTCAGCTCGGTCCAGGCAATTTAGTGACACCTTATCTCAAAATAAAAAATGAAAAAGAGCTGGAAATGTAGCTCCGTATAAACGCCCTGAGATCAAGCAAAACCAAAAAAGTTTTCTTCAAATGTACGATAATCTTTGCCTGCTTCATATCAAGAATGCAGCAGTAGGCAATGTAATTAGGATCTTTGTGTAATTATAATTAGCCATGTAACTCTTTTGCTACAGAATATCTCTGAAGCTAGTGTTCTAGAGAAAATGATTCATTAAACATTGTTTTAGAATAATGTCTATTATAGTTTACTGATAATCTCATTCTGTCATCCCTCAGGATTCCAGGTCAGCCCTCTTGGGAATCTGAAATTAGATCATGGGTGATACTGAATTTGTCCACTGATTGGTTTAGCATAGTTCCAGGGGTGGGTAATGGACTTACTGAAGAGGGAAGACTCACCCTGATGTGGGTTGCACCAACTAATAGGCTTACTGCCTGGATGGAATAAAAAGGGAAAGAAGACTGGCTGCTTTCTGCCTATCCTGCCAGACTGTCTCTCCTCTGTTACGCCCTCTGCCATGCTGCCCTACCTTAGAGCCAGCCAACCATGGACTGAAACGGCTACAAACTGAGCTAAAACAAATCTTTCCTCCTGTAATTTGTGGATGTATTTTTTCCCAGTAACAGGAAAATAACTAAGGCACTGACTTGTTTTATTAACATCTACTTGGAAACTCCCTTCTTTAAACTAACGCTTCCTGGTTAAGCTGCTTAGCTTTGTTACTTTGTCTTAAATCAGCCTTTAGTCAGCAGCTTATTCACTCCTGGGAGTCTCATTCACACTCTTTGCAGCAAGTAGCACCCTTGTTCTGAAACTGCCAAATCTCTACCTCCTGATGAACCTGACTCAGGTTCTGTACTTGTTGGCACATTCATTTTTTGTTTCTTCAAGCCAGATTAGCCAAATTTTGCTAAAATTATCAACATTTCCTTAGGGGGATCTATGTAAAGGTACTATGGAGCCTGCTGAGAAACTTCAGCATTTGCATAAACAGAAATTCAGAGAATTCATCTGCATTTCAAAATAAATGAATCCAAACCAGACACATAGGCATTCCAGGCCAGGCCAGAAACCAAATTCACTGGGTTTAACCCACCGTTTAGGATCATCCACCGAAAAGAAACAAAGTTGAAGTGGCTTTTAATAGCCAGCCCTACCCTTTCAACTTTGAGAATGGTATTGGATGTTTCCTTCAGCTGGCATTTAACTCAAGCTGGCATCTTAGAGCTAGCTTAGCATTCGGGTCGAAACTACCCCAAGATGGGAGGAGGAACAAATCTGTTTTTTATCAAAGGATAGGCAATAGACTTGCAGTTATGATTTCTTGCAATCCTAATTTGTACTCCAGTCTTACCACTGGACCTCTGCTCCTCAAGTTTGTCTATAGTGGGTCTCCCCTGGCCATGGAGGCTTTGGATTCCAGACATCATTTCCACCCCTGACTCTGAAGTCCTGCCGGTCTCAGCTCCAGTCAGTCTCGATCATGGCGAACAGCTGGCTAAGCCTTTTCTTAACATCAGACTCACCGGGAGCCGGACAGGCCTTTGTGTGCACCCTGACGTGCTCAGCCAGCTTGGACTTATAGATGAAACCCTTCCCACAGTCGCCACAGGCAAAGGGCCTTTCCGGTCTGTGGATCCGCTGGTGCCTTCGCATGTGGCCCCTCTCACGAAAGTTCTTGTCACACTCAGGGCAGCGGAAGGGTCTCTCTCCGCTGTGCAGGCCCTGGTGGCTGAGCAGCTGCGCCTTCAGGCGGAAGCGCTTATCACAGCTGGGACACTGGAAGGGCTTCTCCCCGGTATGTGTGCGCACGTGCTCGGTGAGCTTGGACTGCTTGGCGAAACCCTTGCCACAGGCGCAGGAGAAGGGCATCTCCCCGCGGTGCAGCAGCTGGTGCGCCTTCATGTCTGCCTTCACGCGGTAGCGCTTGTCGCACTCCGGGCACTGGAAGGGCCTCTCGCCCGTGTGCAGGCGCTGGTGGCTGAGCAGCTGCCCCTTCAGGCGGAAGCCACGGTCACAGTCCGGGCAGCGGAAGGGGCGCTCACCGCTGTGCACACGCAGGTGCTCGGTGAGCTTGGACTGGCGCGCAAAGCCCTTGGCACACTGCGGGCACGAAAAGGGGCGCTCGGCGCTGTGCGTGCGCTGGTGCGCCGTCAGGATGCCCTTCAGGCGGAAGCGCTTGCCACACTCCGGGCACACAAAGGGCCGCTCTCCACTGTGCACGCGCAGGTGCTCGCGGAGCTTGCAGCGGTGCGCAAAGCCGCGGCCACACTCGCCGCAGGAGAAGGGCTGCTCCCCGCGGTGCCCCCGTGCGTGGGCGCTTAGCGCGCTCCGCAGGCGGAAGCTCAGCGGGCACTGTGAGCACTGGAAGGGCTTCTCGTCCGCGTGCAGCCGCTGGTGGCGCTGCAGCTGCGCCTGCTGGCGGAAGCTTCGGCCGCACCGGGTGCACAGCGAAGGCCGCTCCCCAGTGTGCGGCTGTGCGCGCTCGGGGAGCGCACGCTGTGTGGCAGGGCCCTGGCCACACTTCCGGCGGCGGGAAGGCTTCTCTTCCTTGTGCCCTGGCAGGGTCTGCTCCTGAGGGAAGCACAGTTTGCAGTGGGGGCACTGGAATGGGCTCTTCCTCACGTGGGCGCCCGGATGTCTCGGCAAACACCGCTTCAGGCGGAAGCTCTGCCCACACTCTGGGCACTGGAAGAGCCCCCGGGCCCTCCCCGGCCGCTGCGCCTCGGCTGGCTTGTTGAACTTCTGCCAGGTCCTATCCCTAGGTGACAGGCCCTTGGAATGGCTCCTCTGGTGCCTTACTAAGTGCTTCTTCTCCCAAAGGCTCTCCCCGCAGGCAGGGCAAGGGTGCTGGGCGCTCTTCCAGGAGGGGGCTTCCCGCAAGCCAGGGAGAACCAGGACACTGTGACTTGGGATCCCTTCTCTCTGGGCAGTGTCACTGCTCACTGCAGCCAGGGCCCGTGTGTTCTGTCTCTTCGGGCTCATGGGGGTGAGGCCTGCCTCAGGCCTTTCTCCTAAAAATTCGGATCCAAAGGAAGACTGGCTCTGAAGAGGATCTAACTGGAAACGACATTGAGTTTCTCTTGATTTCGTAGCTTGCACGTTTCCTGAAGTTGAAAACAAAAATTCAGTTAGTCTGCCTTCTATCAAGCGACTAAAGACTGTCACCACAGAAGGGTCTCCACCACAGCACAGCCGCTTCCATCAAACTCCCCAAGCATGTGGTGTGCCTCTTTCTTTCTTTCTTTTTTTTGGAGGTGAAGGGCAGAATATATTTATTGAGGGAAGGAAAGTTTCTTTGCAAAAGAGACAGAACAGGACCCAAGTGGGTTGCCTAGGTGCTTCTGTTTTATGTGCAAAATTAATTTGGTGACATGTGAGCAGACCTATCTTATGGCACAGAAGAGGAAAATACAGGTCACAGAGATCTGGTGTAAGCTCTGGAATCGGATGGCCTGGGTTCAAGTGCCATTTGCCCACTGTGCAGCCTTTGTTGAACAAATGGCTTTCGGCTTTGGCTGCTTACCCTGCATAAACAGGGAACAGTACTGACCACTGTTACGACTTCAGAAGATCAGACTTGCCCTGTTTTACTTAAGACATACCTACAGTCACAAGGTACATTCCTAACAGAGCCTAAATACTAGTTCTTTGTCACCCATGTGCTTCTCTGGCCTTAAGACCAGGCAGCAAGGCTCAGCTCTAGTCCTCCCTACCCCTATCATTACCATTTTTTTTTTTTAATTCTAAGGTATACGCTTGACCACTGAGCCCCATTTCCAGCCCTAACCAATGTTTTAATAAAACTTGCTGGAAAAGTAGATGGAAGAAAACTGAAATAATTTCTTTGTAAAAAAACAGCAAAGCCAAAAAAATCCTTTATGCTCCAGAAAGCAGCAGTTATAAACTAAACAGACAAGATTTCTTAGGATAATACTCAGGTTGACTTCTTCCTTCAGTAACTTAATACTGAGTTTTAAGAACCCCAAAGTGTCAGATTCTGCCATCATGACAAGAAACGGAAGAGGACAGCTACAGTTTAAATATTCAAATAACCTGACTGAAAGTCATCACCCAATTGTTTTTGGCCCAAACAATACCAATCTGCCCAAAATATTCAGCATAACTGCAGAAGGAGAAAGCAGGCCAGTGAACATGAAGACCCATGTGCCAAACGTTTGGCTAATGTAGTCTGCCAGGTACAGACTTCTGGAGGGTTCTGGACTGAATGTATGTCACAGCTCAGTCCCGAGCAGCAGGCGGCCACACAGGAGCTCCTGAACTCCGCATCAAGGGCCTTAATATCACCCACCAGAAAACTAACTCCAAACAAACATTTACCCTTTTGTTTAATAAGTAAATAAATAAATAAATATTCAAATAGATGCTCATCACCAGGTAGGAGAGAAGCCACTTTAGTCACAAAGGAAGCCAATCAGTCTCTGCTTCTGTTCCTTCCTAGCCACGAGCAAGAACAGCTTCCATCACTGAGTTTCCTGGGGGCGTGGAACCACTTTCACACTGCACATATGAAGTCTGTTTACCCCACAGTGTAGGCACTTTCCTTGTCTTCCTTCTCTACTCCAGGAATTGAAGTACTGACAAGGTAGGTTACCTGCCTGGTGTCACCCAGAAAAGTGGGATGCAGACTCACACCGCAGAACCCACATTCCTATCCACCTTGCTCTGACTTTGTCTAGCATCTTTGAGACATGAAGCCTCAGCTCTGCCAAACAGGAAGTCACGATCAGAGAAGGGAAACTAGATATTTGATGTCTTAATATGAGATCCTCATTTCTTAAAACTCACCCCCAAACAGCTGCTCCTCAATAACTGGATCAAAATGCAGGTCCGCAGAGGAGAGGACCGTGTTTCCTGGATGCTGGGATTCTCCCCAGCTCCTGAGGGGCTGTATCCCCTGTTCAATCCAGGAAATGAGTTCTGGTTTGGGAAGCGTACCATCTGCAAAGAGAAGTCGGACAGGACAGTTAGGCTTCCTTGGGCACTATATTTAAAGCTCAATTAAGTTGCTTCTGAATTTTTCAACACCCATTTCTAGGACAGTAATTGTCAACAAGTAAGTTAATAGATTTCTGAAAAAGGGGAGCCATCTAACAGTGCTTCCTAGTCTATCTGGATCTGTTAGACTGGATGTGCTATTTTACAATAGCCCCTATACTTCTAGCAATGCTGTATATTATCCAAAAGCAAAATGGCAAAGGTTCAGCATTCTTTTTATTTACTTATGTTTGCTTTGAGACAGGATCTCACTATGTCATTCAGGCTGGCCTTGAACTCACTATGTAGCCCAGGTTGGCCTCCAACTTGTAGTGATCCTACTTTCTCAGCCTCCCTAGTGCTGAGATTACAGTGTGTGCCACCACATCTGGCTTTCAATATTCTTAATATTCATTTAAGTGATGCCTTAGGAGTACAATTTTATTTATTTGGATTTTTTTTTTTTCCGGTACCAGGAATCAAACTCACGACCTTGCACTTGGCAGGCAGGCGCTTTGCCGCTGAGGTAAATCCCCAGCCCCTTATTTGAATTTTTAAAAGTATTTTTGAGGCAGGGTTTTGCTGTGTACTCAGACTGGCCTCAAACCCATGGCAATCTTCCTGCCTCTGCCTCCCAAGGGCTGGGATTATAGGCGTGCACCGCCATGCCCAGCCAGGGAGTGTACAGTTGTAAATGAAGTTAACTCAGGCAAAAATTATGTCAAAATGATTTTAAAAAACAATTTTTATTAAAAATATTTCTAATACAAGGAAAAGGAGAACAATATAGAAAAGCTCAGTGCTGGGCTGGGGATATAGTTCAGTGGCACAGCACCTGCCTGGCAAGTGTGAGGTCCTGAGTTCAATTCTCAGTACCAGGAAAAAAAAGACCCTCGGTGCTGTGGAACTGTTGACAAACTTGCCTCAAGCTTTTTAAGGACAAGACATATTGCCCAACTGAAGCCCCTAAATGTGGTGTCTATCTCCAGCAGTAACCACCACCCTGAATTTACTGTTTGCCATTCCCATGCATGTTTTTATGTTTTTGTAGTGCTGGAGAGTGAGTTCAGGACCTTGTGCACGCTAAACTACCACCAAGGCACAGCCCCAGCCCAATGTCTTTATTTTTTAAATACATACACATATTTTATTCCTGACTTTGAATTCTGTATAAACCATACGTCATTCTCTAACAAATTATGTGTCCAAAATGTCTCCATTTTGGGGCTGGGGATTTAGCTTAGCGGCACAGTGCCTGCCTGGCAAGCTCAAGGTCATGAGTTCAATTCCCAGTACTGGAAAAAAAAACAAAAACAAAAAAACCAAAATGTCTCCATTTTGAAACCGAGTTTAGCGTTATTCACTGGATATGGTGTGAAGGGATGACCCTGTCCCAATCCATCTGGTCCTTCTGCTCACTAGCACAGCTGCACTCCAGTGTAAGTGTGTTTTCAACATCACCACACATCCAGTCAGCTATGCGTGCTCACAGGCGCATGTGCTTTATATCCTGACAACTCGGGTACTAGCAGACATCTTCCCATCTCCTCTAATACCAGAAGTCACGCTAGTTGACAGGATATTCACCTTCCCTCCTGTTGCCAGAGGGTTCTTGATGGTTCATGGTCCTGTGTTCCTCCATGTTTTTTTTTGTTTTGTTTTATTGGTCTTTTTGAGCGGGGTTTTACTATGCAATGCAGGCTGGCCTTGAACTCACTTTGTAGCCCAGGCTGGCCTCAAACTTGCAGTGATCCTCCTGCCTCAGCCTCCTGAGTGCTGGGATTATAGGCGTGTACCACCATGTCCAGCTTTTTCCATGTCCTTTAAGGTCAGCTTACAGGCCATGGAAAGTCCTACGGAGGTTTTGGTTGGAATTCCTTTGGACATACAGACTGATTTGAGGAGAACTGACAGAAAGTGTAACGGTCCATGTAACTGACTATGATTAAGAGGATGGATAATCAAACTATAGATGAGAGCAGGAATAAGGAAAATAATTAAAAATCCGACTAAAGTCATGGCCCAACAGTGAGCAAATTAAAGTGCTGCATGATTTTGAACAACTGCTGAGCACGAAAATGGGGAATCCACTTGGATCTCAATGCTTGGGACATTATTATTTTTCTGTATAAATTTCTTTTTCTTATTTCATTTTCTTTTGAGACAGACTCACTATGTAGTGCAGGCTGTCCTTGAACTCACTTATATAGCCAAAGCTGGCCTTGAACTCACAGTGATACTCCTGCCTCAGCCTCCCAAATGCTAGGACCTATATAATTTTTTTTTTTTTTTTTGTCTTTTTGAGATGGGGTCTCACCATGCAGTTCAGGCTGGCCTTGAGCTCACTTTGTAGCCCAGGCTAGTCTCGAGCTCACAGTGATTCTCCTGCCTCAGCCTCCTGAGTGCTGGGATTACAGGCATGTGCCACCACGCTCAGCTGAGAAATTCAATGGCTTTACCTGATTCTTTGGTATGAGTGAAAACAATGCAATGTTTTAGATTACATGTTTTAAAACAATCCATACATAGGGTCTGCAAAACTTAACTCCGGCAATAAAACAGAGAATACAAGTTTTTTTTTTTTTTTTTTTTTTTTGGTTTTTCTCCGGTACCAGGAACCGAACTCACGACCTTTGCCGCTGAGCTAAATCCCCAGCCCGAGAATACAAGTTTTATAAACCTTGCAGTTGTAGTATAAAGGAAGTAGTTCAGCTGTAAGGAAAGAGGGAGTATAAGAAAAGTTATCACCTAATCTTTGTACATGGGCAGAGCTGAGTGATGTAAAGTTGATGGAACATGAGCTACAAGTTTACATATATTACTTTAAATTATTAAACCAGGGGCTGGGGATATAGCTCAGCTGCATAAGCACCTGCCTGACAAGCACAAGGTCCTGAGTTTGATCCCCGGTACAGAAAAAAAAAAAAATATATTGTTAAACCAATAGAAGCACAAGAAACTATCAAAAACTGGAGGTATGGTGAAAACAGAGATAGAAGAGGTATACAAACGATAAGTTATCTAGTATCTCATTTTTTCATAGTAATTAATGCTAGCTAAACTCAATGAACCAAGAAACAGGTGTTTCCATTATATTTAGATCAGAGGAAATTAATTTATAAACTAAAACAAAAATAGTTGCCTCACCAGGCGTGGTGGCACACACCTGTAATCCCAGCACTTAGGAGGCTGAAGCAGGAGGATCGCTGTGAGTTCGAGATCAGCCTGGGCTACCAAGTGAGCTCAAAGGCAGCCTGAACTGCATAGCGAGACCCTGTCTCAAAAGAGACAAAAAAAAAAAAAAAACTTGCCTCTATGAGTTGACTGAGTGTAAGGTAAGAATAAAGCAGGACCCATTCACCATTCATACTTCATTTAATGCGTTTCTGAACAGATAAGAGTTTCTAAAACTTTCTTCATAAATAAGAAATATGAGGACTGGGGGGCTTAGCTCAGTTATACAGCACTTATCCAGTATGTGTAAGGCTCTGAGATCCATGACCAAAAATAAATAAATGAAGATCAAATAAAGAAAAGACTAAAAAAACATTTATTATCATAACCATAGAGTCAGTTACTCTTAAGTACTTAAATGAATCCTTCCAAAATCTCACTTCAGGGAAAAATATTAACTGCTTTTCTCCTGGGGGTGGTGGGTTGGAGTGGTGACCAGTGATTGAACCCGGGGCCTCAAACATGGTAGGAAAGTATTCTACCCTTGAGCTGCATCCCCGGCCTGACCTTTGGCTTCTTGAAGTCTTTAACCCACTGGAAAGCTATGTGGAGGGCCATTCATAGGTTAAACATATACATATAGGTACTTGAGCTGGAGATGTTGCTAGCATGCACAGGGAACAGTACCACATGCTAGCTTGCCTAGCATGCACAAGGACCAGTACCACACACGTAAATAAATAAATGTCTGTCTGACACACAGATACTTTATGGGAAAGAGCCAGGTATGCTCCCAGGCGGAAAAGCATGGCAGCATCTTACCTAGAGAGACAAGAGTCTCGTAGTTGGTCCTCATGACACCTTTGTAAAGCTCCTTCTGCCACATCTCTAGGTCCTGCCATTCTTGCTCCGAGAAATAAATGGCAACGTCTTCAAAAGTCAGAGGTAACTGAAATCACAGACATAATACAGTTGTGACTGCTTCAGAATGACCCCAGCTCCTTCTCATTAACTTAAAAGGCTTGTGTGGTGGACAAGTGCTTGGTCTATTCGGCAGCCTCTTCCTTGGAAACTGTTCCTTGTCCTAGTCCAGTCACGGGGTTGTACTGCTCCCCACCACAACCCCTTCCACATTTCTTTATACCTCTCCAAGCTATATATCCCTAGGCATGGAATGGAACGTTTTCTTTAAAAAGGGGAGGGGATCGCTATGTAACTTCCTTCACTTAATATGTTACAGTCATTTTCCAGATCAAGAGAAAGAGGCAAGCTCATTTTGGGACAAACTGCATTTATGCTGCATGAATATACCCTTCTGAATGGACATATTCATTGTTTATTACTACCCTTCTGAATGGACATATTCATTGTTTATTACAATTCCTTTTCTAAACTACAAACAACACTGAGATTTTTTTTTTTAATGTATTAGTACTTTGTAGCATAAAGTCTAAAAAGGAGAACTAAAAGGGATAAACATTTTTAGTTTTATTTACTTTTTGTGGTGCTGGGGATTAAATCCAGGGCCTTGCACATGCTAGGAAATGGCTCTACCAGTGAGCTACACCCTTAACTCAATTTAATATCTGTGGTTATTATTTTTTTTTTTTGGTATCAGGAATCAAACTCAGAACCTTGCACTTGTCAGGCAGGCACTGTGCCGCTGAGTTATATCCCTCGCCCTATTTGTGTTTATTATGGTTGACATGAAAAATTAATACCTGCTGAGGTTCATAAACTAGAATTATGTAAATTATATAATTTTTAATTTAAAATACTACCGCTGCATTCCACATCTTATTGAATTTTCTTTAATCTCAGTTTAACTTCAATGTGTTCTTCTCTACAGCTATTAAAGCACATCTTATTTCAACTTTTATTTTTACTTTATGTTAATCTTTTTGTTACACTTGGTATGAAGTTTAGAACTGAGTTTTTAAAACTATAATTCCTTTATATTTAAATTGAAAATTCATTACTTAAATTTTATGAAAAAAAAATTTTGTGAAATAGTTGTTTCTGCCATAACTTTTTTTAAATTTTTATTTTAAAGAGTAAAAGAAAGATAACATAATAATGGGGGGGCTTACCAAATTACAGACAAAGTGGTAGGAAATTATCAAGGGTTATTGTTTGCTATAACATTTTAAAAAACATGAATCTGTTCCATGATGGACCTATTAGGGAATTCATTTATTTCCAGTTTTGTCTGTGAGAAGCATTAGGTCACTGGTTCTCAATCAGGACAATTTTGTCTCCTACAGCACATTCGGCAAAGTCTGATGTCAGTTCTGATTGGTGGAACTGAGATGGGGGCGTGTGCTAGTATCACCTAGCAGTACCTGCTAAGGATCCTGCTAACTACGACGCACAGGGCACTGCCCACAAAGAAAACCTGCCGGTACAAAATGCCAATAGTGGCAAGGGTGAGAAGGAAAAAACTGAGCTGTGCAGGCCGCCCAAAATCTTCAGACACAACCTTCGGACATCTACCAGCTTTTCCACCTGACATCTACCCTGATTTCCCGGAGTAAAGCGCTCTATCTAAACACATCCAGTATCACAACTTTCTATCTCATTTCATTACATATACAAAAACTGCTGTGTGGACTGTACAGTGAAGCCCTGTCTTTCTTTTAAAAAAAGGCAAAGCCATTAAATTAGAGTTCAGCCCCCCTCTCCCCAGTCTCGGGCATCCACAGGGTGTGCTGGGACGTATCCCGCGCATTACATTGCACAGGCTATTTTTAAGTTAACGATCTTCTTCATTTAACAACCGGCAAGAATGCTCAGGAGGAAGGTTAGAAAAACACGCCGTGTCCTTGATTTCAATAAAACGCTAAATAAACAGCGTGCACTCTGCAGGGATTTTTGGCCCGTCCACGCTCGGAACATCCCTTTCCTGCCTGCTCTCAAGACCAACGCGACCCTGACGCTCGAGCCCTCAGCACGGCGGG